ATCTTGATATTTGTTAATTTTATATATTGAGAAATATGTTAAAAAAATAAAAGTATATTATTTAACAAAAAACAACACACAAAGTACCGAAAATTGGTACCGTTAAGTACCGGTACTGATTCCCAGGTAACGGATATTGGTACCGAATCGATTCAAAGGTACCCATCCCTAATGATGGGACAGCAGGGTCTGAGAGACTAGTCAGGCATGAGATAAAGATGAAATGTGACAAAATGTTAGAAATCTACAATGAAAACCTGATCCATGACAGTGACCCAGAACACAGAAACATACAGGAAGAGCTGAGGGACAACCCTAAACGACCTGTAGAGGACCAGCCAAAGACCTGACCTGAACCTGATAAAACATCTCCTGAAAATGCTTCCAAAGATTCAAGCAAACTGAGATTAGAAGGATTTATAAAGAAAAAAAAGGCAGAAAATCTCAGTTCAGTTTGTTTCATTAAACCCAAAATGACTCGAGGAACTGCTTGAATTCAAAATCTCATTTRGTTTAAATTTTAATAATTTCATTAACTGTATAAAGTTATGTTTTCCTTTATGAGGTACTGAGTGTAGTTTGAGAAAGAATGAATATCAGGCTGCAACGTAGAGACCAAAAAGGTGACGTGGATCTGAAAAGCTTTTTGGAGTTATATTTTCTTGACAAGGATTTATTTTATCSACACTATAGTGGAGCAAAGGTAGATCATGTTGTGCATCTTTTTAGACCAGGGGTTTTTAAACTGTGGGGCGTGCCTCCCCTAGAGGGCGCCAAAATGAAAGTAAGGGTTGGATTCACACTGCAGATCATACATTAGGTTTGTTTGCTCAGGTCTTTTTGTGTGTGGTGTGTCACATTATCATTAAAATGTCTGGGTTAGGCATAAATYCAGTTACAAAAATGAGTGGAAGTCATTACAAATCCTCAGTTTGATGCAAATACAATAATGTGTGTATGGACACATTTTTCCTACATCGTGGGAACCATTTTCTCGAAAAAGTAGCCTCGTGGGGACCAATGCCAGGTCGCCATAGGTACATATGCAAATTATGGGTGTGGGGTTTGGTTCAGAACCAAGGTTTATGTTATTTTTAGGGTCAGGTAGGTACCTGTGAGGTTAATTTTAGAGTAAGTGGTCAGGGTTAGGCTATAAAATTTCCAAAAAATAAATGGATCATGTTAATGCATGGTCCCCACGGGAATATACAAACCAGACCTGTGTGTGTGTGTGTGTGTGCTGTCAGAGGGACATGTGATGGGCCAGCATGCAGCTGTAACCATGGAGACTGGAAAACATCAGTAACACAATAACTGTTCAAAGATTTTCAGCAGCTCGAGCCAACATTAGGAGGGTGAACTGAGCTTCCTGGAGCCACAGAAACAGTTTCTTCTCTTAAATCGTGACTTCAGCTGCAAATGTGCTAGACCCACTGAAGCGAGCAGAAACAACTATCAGGTCAAAT